TGCAGCACGGGTTCGATCCTGCCCGGCAAGGGAAATTCCCACATGGTACGGCAGACCTCTCCTGCCTCACCCGCTGCTCCCCTCAGCAGTGTATTTCATCAGTCTGCCTGTTCTGTTCCCCGCTCTGTCTGGTGAATCCTCTCACCCTCCCACGTCTCTGGCCTTTACCCCAGCTCTTGTATAAAAATAAATAAAACTTAAAAAAAAAAAAAAAGAAAAGAAAAGGTCAGGGATGGCTTCATGAGAGGAGCAAGGTGTTTTCATTGTGGCATTTCCAAAGAGATCAGCTTAAAACCATGCCCCGAATGTCAGGGGAATCACTGGAGAGGGGAATCACTGGAGAAGGAACTGTCCTCAGTTGCAGAAACCAGGGCTGTTCCGCTCTGAACTCTGATAGGTGGCACCCAGAGGCTCTGATTTTCCCTGCCCTCTAGATTTCATCATCAGTGCCTGGGGTCCGCCTTGAGGTAGAGGGCCATTCAGTAGACTTTCTACTGGATACTGGGGCCACGTACTCTGTCCTCCAATCTTTTTTTTTTTTTAAAGATTTATTTATTATGCATACAAGAACTGGGATACAGGCCAGAGGTGTGGGGGGTGAGAGGATTCACCAGAGACAGAGTGGAGAACAGAACAGGCAGACTGACTGAAATACTCTGCTGAAGGGAGAAGCGGGCAAGTCAGGAGAGAGCTGCTGTGCCATGGGCGTCACCTGTCTGGCGGGGATCAAACTCATTCTGCAGTGGCTACAGATAGCTTCACAGTGCCGTGCTTAACCCCTTGCCCCACCAGCGAGGCCCTGTCCTCCAATCTTGTTCCTTACCATTAACATCCAATTGGGTGGCAGTTAAGGGGGTAGACAAAAAATCTATTCCTAGATATTTTAAACCCCCCCCCCCCACTGCTTTGGGGTGCCTCTGGGACTCCTTTTGTTTTTCACATGCCTTCCTAGTGATCCCTGAATGCCCAACCATGCTTCTGGGCCGAGCTATCTAGGCCAAGGTGGGTGCTTCATTTTATGTTTGCCAGTCAAAACAGCAGGCTCCTCCCTTATGCCCCCTTATTTTGCCTGTAATTGTAAAAATTGACCCATTGGTTTGGTCTGACGGGTCACAGGAGGGAAGAGCAATTTCCAGCCCTCCCATTAAAATCAAGTTAAAACTGGGAGTACTATATCCCTGTTAAAAACAGTGTTCACTGAGATCAGAGACAAAAACAGGTCTTTGTGATATAATCAACACTTTAAAACAAAGGGTCTGCTAATTCCCTGCTCTAGCCCGTACAACTCTCCTATCTTGGGGGTAAAAAAGTCAAATGGCTCGGGCCTCCCCGGTGGCGCAGCGGTTGAGCACTCGGTTGCGAAGCTGCCCGCAGCCTCTGCAGCACTGGTTCCATCCCCAGCTGCTCCCCAGCCACCAGAGGAGGGTCCCACATGGCGCGCAGACCTCTCCTGCCGCCCGCGGCTCCCCTCAGCAGTGTACTTCGTTCCTTCTGCCTGCTCTGCTCCCCGCTCTGGCTCTGGTGAATTCTCTCACCCTCCCGCGCTTCTGACTGTACCCAGTGCTTGTATAAATCAATCAATCAATCAATCTTAAGAAAAAAAAAAAGATTTTACAAGTCCAATGGCTCTTGGTGTCCAGTTCAAGACTGAAGACAAATTAACCAGACTCTCATTCCCCTGTACTCTGTAGTGCCAAATCCCTATACGTTGCTGTCCCAGGTGCCAGGAGATATGAAGTTCTTTTCAGTCTTGGACCTAAAAGATGCGTCTTTTTGTATTCCCTTACATCCAGACTCATGGTTTCTTTTTGCCTTTGAGGACCCTTCAAAATTCACTCACAAATTGCTTGGTATCTTGCCAGACTCTTGCTTGTCCTTCTCTTTGGCCTGTGCATTCTAAACCTCTTGGTTAGTTTTGTCTACCACGGGTTAAAAGCTACAAACCTTCAGCTTGCAGTTATCTCCAGTCCACTATGTATCTGCCGCCTGGATGCCTCTGCCTTGCCCTATTCCGCCCCTTTCCAGTAGGAAGTAGCCAGATAGACTCAACACCCCCAACTCTTGTGGCTGCTCAGTGTCACCCTCTCTCTGGGGGGACTGAGAAAATATAAAACCAGGAGAACTTGGAGAACTGTAAAGGCTGAGACGCGGGCCTATACAAAACTCCATCTAATAGCTGGGTCTGGTGCAATGACCCCTGCATGTGTGGGATGGCTTACATCATACTGAAGAAGGAACCTGAACTCATATGAAAATTACCTTCCAAAATAAAATTTTTGATTCTGTCTGTGTGCTTAATCCATATGTTTTGTTGCCATAAAATGCTCATGTTAGTTATAATGCAGCCTATTTCATGTATCATGTTACTTACAGTGACTGTTATCTACAACAATGTATTAACCCAACATATTAAAAATCTAGTCCAAATATCACATGCTTAATACTAAAAGCCACTTGGGCTCTAGTTAAACTCCAAAATCCGTGGCAAGAGACCCCTTCTATTACATTCATACAGGAGTTGCTGCATCACTTAAAACACCATACCAAAAGATTTATGTAGACTTTGCCAAAACTAGTTATACTTTGCTTTAAAAACAAAAAGGGAGATATGGGCCTCCCCTGGTGGCACATGCGGTTGAGCACCGTGCTGTGAAGCTGTCCGCAGCCTCTGCAGCGCCAGTTCGATTCTGGCTGGCCGGTGAGGGTCCCACATGGCGCAGCAGACCTCTCCTGTCTCACCCGCTGTTCCCCTCAGCAGTGTATTTCGTCAGTCTGCCTGTTCTGTTCCCTGCTCTGTCTCTGGTGGATCCTCTCACCCTCCCGTGCATCTGGTCTGTACCCTGGTTCTTGTATAAATAAATAAATCTTAAAAAACAAAAAGGGAAATATGTTGGGAGCCTGCTGCCCTGAAGGGAGCTGGAGTTTTTGGAGAATACCTATTTACTCTGCACATGGAGTTCCAGGACATTAAAAGTTCTGCAAACAGAACTTCTTCCCAGAACTGACTCCTGTTCTCTGAGGAAGTGCTGCCTTCTGCACATGTTCCCTACTAAGCAGGAAAACTTGTTTTCAGCAGTAACTTATTAATTTGTATAGGCAAAAACACAATTGCATGCTATTTTCTTGTTCCTTTGTTCATACCTTTTTTAAAAAAAATTTATTTATGCATACAAGAGCTGGGGTACAGGCCAGAGGTGTGTGGGGTGGGGGCGATGAGAGGATTCGCCAGAGACATAGTAGGGAACAGAACAGGCAGATTGACTGAAATACACTGCTGAGGGAAGCAGTGGGTGAGTCAGGAGAGGTCTGCTAGCCATGTGGGCAGCTTCCTGGCGGGGGGGGGGGGATCCAATTCGTGCTGCAGTGGCTGCAGATCACCTCATAGTGCTGTGCTTAACACCTTGCGCCACAAGGGAGGCCCCTCCTTTGTTCATATCTTCAGTGAAAACTTGGGCTGGGAGAGTGAAAGGCAGAGCTGCTCTCCATGGCACTCTTCCCAGTATCCCCCTGTTACAAATTCATTTAGACTCTGTGTCTTTGCTAACGGCAGAGAACGTCATCAGCTGTCCTGTCTGTGGCAGTTGATGATAGCTTGATAATATTGAGACTTAACCTCTTGCACCACCAGGGAGGCCCTTATCCCATATGTAATGTGGGATGAAACTCCCCAAATAATATGCTGTTATAATTAAAATGGCATTACTTGGGGCCTCCCCTGGTGGTGCAGTGGTTGAGCACTGGGCTGCAAAGCTGCCCGCAGCCTCTGCAGCGCCGGTTCGATCCCTGGCCACCGGGGAGGGTCCCACATTGCACGACAGACCTCTCCTGCCGCGCCCGCTGCTCCCCTCAGCAATGTATTTCATGGGTCTGCCTGTTGTGTTCCCCACTCTAGCTCTAGTGAATTCTCTCACCTTCCCGTGCTTCTGACTGTACCCAGTGCTTGTATAAATAAATCTTTTAAAAAATCATCATTAAAAAAAAAATGGCATTACTCTATTTTCTGAATGCAAAATTCTGGATGATTTGATTAAATATGAACTTTACTCCCTGCTTTGCTAGTGTTCAACTGGGTAATGTAATCCAGAGTCAGTCCCCCTAAGCCCTTAGCACAGGGCCTGGAGTAAAGAATGTTCCATGAATGAATAAATTAACAGTGGTGTAAGTTTCCCTTCCTTGAAGACCGAGCTGATAGCCTTCTGAGAAGATAGTGAGACAATGACCCACTCGCGTTATAAACTTGGGACAAATGTCACCCAGACTTGTTCCCACAGCCCCGTGGGCTCTGGGCTCTGATTTTCTGAACAGGGCTTTCCGGTGAATCTGCCATTATCCTCAATATCACAGGTTCCTGCTGCTCCCTAAGAGTATGGCATGGGGACTTCAGAAACTCAGGGTCCAGGGACTGCGGTGACCTACAGTCGGAAAGGGGGCAGTGACCAAGCGATTTGGGGATAAATTAATCCCGGGACCCAGGGGCTGATGATCCAATGACTCAGGATCTGAGATCTATCCACCTTGCAACCACAAAATCCAGCAACCTCAAGACGCTGCAGCTGAGGCCCCCAGGTCCGGCCGGGAGATGATGATTGAGTGTCGGGGAGCTCAGGATCAAGGGGCTTCGTGAACACGCGTCCTCAGTGTTTTGGACCCTGAGCCTGAGCAGGCTCAGGCGCGGCTGGGTTAGGCGGACTCACCTGCAGCCACTGGCCCGCCTCTCTCCCACCCCTGGCACCGCCCCCGCCTTCCCTTGATGCTCATTGGTGAGTCCTTGGAGGCGTGGACCAATCAAATCTCTCCTCGTGTCTCCAGCCCATCCGACCCCCACTTGCAGCTGATGCTCTGGAAAACTGGGGGTGGGTCCTCTTTATGTCGACCCAATGGCATTGCAGGCAGAGAGCCGTGTGGGCCGGCGATTGGCTGCGTCGGCCGCGTCTGTCAAGAGGCGGATTGGCTGGCTGCGGAGACCCCGGCCGCGCGGGAGTGGACGGAGCGGCGCCGTGGGGATGTGGCTGAGCGGCGGCGGAGCCGTCGGGCCGGCGCTGCTGGGGCTGCTGCTGGCCCTCTCGGCGCCGGCCAGTGGCGCCGCGGAGCCCGGCGCGGGGCTCGTGACGTGTGGCTCAGTGCTGAAGTTGCTCAACACGCAGCACAGGGTGCGCCTGCACTCGCATGACATCAAATACGGATCTGGTGCGCGGCCGAGGACCGAGGCGTTTCCGGGGTGGCGAATCCGGGGCCGGGAGTTTGAAGGCGGGGGGCGGGGGTGAGGGCTGGGAATGGGGGAGGCGAGAAGGTGGTTGAGGGAGTGGGACAGGGAGTTCGGGAGTCTGGCGGGGGAGGCTGAACTTGTTGAGGGATCGTGGGGTACAAGGACCGGCGGTTTGAGGGGTTCGTTGGGGTATTCGGGACGTGGCGGGTCACCCGGGAACTGTGGGTCTAGGGACTTGGAATTCGGCCTGGGGCCAGGAAAGGGGTGTGGGTGAAACCTCGGGGTCCCGCGGTGAGATTGTCCGGGAAAGTTTATGGTGTCCCGGGTCAGGGTTCGGGAGGCCCGGAGTTGATGGCGACCCCTGGCGGGGTGGGGTGTGGCCCTCAGGCAGCGGCCAGCAGTCGGTGACCGGAGTGGACTCGTCTGACGACGCCAATAGCTACTGGCGCATCCGCGGTGGCTCAGAGGGCGGGTGTCCGCGCGGGGCCCCCGTGCGCTGCGGGCAGGCGGTGAGGCTGACGCACGTGCTGACGGGCAAGAACCTACACACGCACCACTTTCCGTCACCGCTGTCCAACAACCAGGTGAGGCTCCTGGGGAGCAGCTGAGCACTGGGCAGCACCTAACTAACGCTTACGCATTGTTTCACTTTCTCTGAGTCACAGCTTCCTCTGTGAAATGGGAATTTCAATTCAGAAATGTTTACTAAGCGCTCCCTCTGGGGTCGCAGAGGTAACTCAGCTTAAAGTCTGTGGCCTGCACCCCAGTTCTTCTACACAAAAATAAATAAATTAGGGCCTCTCCGGTGGTGCAGCGGTTGAGCGCTGGGTTGCGAAGCTGCCCGCAGCCTCTGCAGCGCCGGTTCGATCCCCGGCTGCTCCCCTGCCCCTGGAGGAGGGTCCCACAGGGCGCGCAGGCCTCTCCTGCCGCCCACTGCTCCCCTCGGCAGTGTGCTTCGGTCCTTCTGCCTGCTCTGCTCCCCGCTCTGGCTCGGGTGAATTCTCTCACCCTCCCGTGCTTCTGGCTGTACCCAGTGCTTGTATAAATAAATAAAAATAAATCTTTTTTAAAAAATTAATTAATTAATTAATTAATTAAATATTAGAATGAAATAAAGTCTTTCGCCAGGAGCTCTCAGTCCTGAGCTGAGACTGACAGGAAGAGCAATGGAGCTGGATAGCGTCTCTCCAGGGGTAGAGTTTCACCCAGGAGGGGAATACACAAGGTCTTCTGAATCAGAAACCAGGGAAATCCTATCAGGGAAGAGAAACTCAGGCTGGGTCTGACAGGATAAGTAAGAGTCCTCCAAGCCACAGGGAAAAGAGGGGCTTTCCAGATGTAGTATTTGGGGGAGTAGAAGAGTAAGTTTGAGATAGAGCTCTTATTGTCAACCTGAGGAGTTGGACTTTATGCTGAACAGGAGTGAGGAGGCTAGTTCAGACAGGGGAGAGGAGGAGGTTTTAGCTCGTGTGCATGTGTTTGGAGAGCCTGTGTAGGGGGATAGGGTGCATTTTGCAGCTGTGGAAACTGAGGGTCAGAGAGATAAGAGTAAGGACCTGAGACTCAGTGCACTGGGTGTGAGTGCCACTGCCAGGCAAGTGACCACAAGGGACTTAATGTGCCCTCTGTGCTGACCCATTTCCCTCCCTCCCATAGGAGGTGAGCGCCTTTGGAGAAGATGGAGAGGGTGATGACCTGGACCTGTGGACAGTGCGCTGCTCAGGGCAGCACTGGGAGCGGGAGGCCGCCGTGCGCTTCCAGCATGTGGGCACCTCTGTGTTCCTGTCAGTCACCGGCGAGCAGTATGGGAGCCCCATCCGTGGGCAGCACGAGGTACATGGCATGCCCAGTTCCAACATGCACAATATGTGGAAGGCAATGGAAGGCATCTTCTTCAAACCCAGCGGGGATCCCTTAGCAGGTCACGATGAACTTTGAGTGCTGTGGATGGGTGGATGAAAGTCAGCAGCACAGGGCATCTGCTGGGTTTGTATGGGTTCTCAAGCGCCCTTGTGATTAAAGAATATTGGTCTGTGATTGTGGTTTGTTGTGCCTGGGGGTAACCAGAAGGTATTTGCCCTCCCTGACCCAGTTCACCATCTCTTTCTCAGTGTAAAACCTGTCTACAGCACAGCTTGACAGTTGAACCCATTCAAACCTTTTTGGTGCTCTTTGATGCTCTTTGACATTGTCCCAGTCCATCACAGCCTCTTGTGCACTCTTAGATGGTCTGATGGCAAGTGAGCCCAGTTCCCCAGCCCCTGAGCCTCATGAACCTTCCTGTTAAGGACTGGAGCTAGGGCCTCAGCTGTGATGGGACACAAGCTTTCTGGCCCCTTCACCCTCTGATATGAGGCCCTTATTCTCCTGACACCCCTCCCCTAGCATTTACAGCAGTCTTGACACTTGTCTTTGATCAAGCACTAGACCAGGACTCTGCCCATCTGCTGGAGTCTAGCTTCACAAGCTTCCCTCACTCACAAGGTGCCAGTCTGCCAGGGCATGTGGCATCTCAGTTGTCCTTTATAGCCTTCCAAGGTCCCAAACGACAAAAGATATTGAAAGGGAAGGTAACTACAAAGAACTACCTGAAGATACCTGAGGTTTCTTTGGATCTTTGGTATAAACCGTATTTGGGCAGGCAAAGCTATAGCAGTAGGAGTGCCCTGATAAAGTTAGCGCTGCTGTTGTGTGGGTGACCTCTAGAGGTGATGGCTGAGATTACAGCCTTACTGGACTTGCTAACTCAGTTTAGGTGACTCTGCGTAGGAAGGGTAAGGGCTTAAAGGATCTGCTGGGGATAGAGGGTGACATTTCTTGAATGAGAAATAAATGAGAATAAAAGTTTCCAAGGAGATGATGGGAGTGGAAACTGATTGGAAGGGATTGTAAAGAGTTGGCAGAGCACTTTACATTTGAGAAATCAATTGACCTTATAGGGATGGGAGAAAAATTCTAGCCAGTTGTGAGACTTTGAGGGAAGGAGAGTCTTGTGAAAGCCCTGGACCCATTACTATTCCCCTCATCTCAGCTCCTATTCTGCTCAAACACAGACCCACTCCTGGCCCTTCCACTGCCAAACCTCTTGAGCATTGTCTGCATTCTCTTCTCGTTACTGTCTGACTTGAGACAGGATTGGAGTGCAAGTAGATTGCTAGAGCAGAGGAATGGGTCTGTGAGAGGAGAAGTGAAGGGAGTGGGTGAAGCTTAATCCCACTGGGGAACTCTGGAACCCAGTATAGAACACACATCAACGTTACCTCAACCAAGGATCAAAGAAGGAGGTTAATTTATCCAACCGGAGTATCTTTCCTTGTTGGCTGGGGGTTGCCCGCTGGGTGGTACTATGCAATACTCCCCACTTTGCCCTGTACCTTATCCTGACTCATGCAGTCAGAATAAAACCCTCAAGTGAGCCACAGGTGCTGATAGTGAGTATCCTTTCTTTCTTTCTTTTTTTTGTGGGACCCTCGCCAGTGGCCAGGGAACTGAACCAGCGCTGCAGAGGCTGCGGGCAGCCTCGCAGCCCAGTGCTCAACTGCTATACCACCAGGGGAGGCCCAGTGAGCATCCTTTCTGTAGAGATGAGTGTCAAGGAGAAGTGTATTAGTTTACCAACAGTGTAGACCACCTTGTGCAAACCCAAGGCTGTACTTTCTGGTCCATTCCTGGCCTCTCTGGGCTGTAAGAGTGTACTACTGCTCCACTACCTCCCTGCCAACACATCCCAATAAGAAACGAGGAGTGTCAATTAAGAGTAGAATCCAACAGTGCACAGCATATAGGAAATGTAAGAATCTTTGGGCAACCATGGCAAAAGTTGTGGTAGCAGTAAGATGACTACAGACAGAATGCAGGACAAGACCAAAAATAAAAACCACAGCATCAAAGCTCATATTCATTGATCACTTAATGCCAGTTGTTGGGCCAATGATTTACACAGCAGCTCATTTGCTCCTAGCAATAACCCTATGAAATAAGTTCAATTACAGCCTTAATTTTGCAGAGCAGAAAACCCATGTTCAAGAAGATTCAAACTTAGCTCTGGCTCTCTCCAAAGCATTTGCTCTACAGTACTGAAAGAAAATAAAAGGGACTTAGACAAACACGCGGGCATACACACACACACACACACACACACACACTCACACGAATTACATGAGGATCAGGCAACACGTATCCTTACCAGTCATCAGCCCAGGGTAGGCACTTATCCACAAAGTGGATCTCCCGGATCAAATTATGCAAGGACCACAGGCGACACCATTTTCCTTTACCTCCCACAGACCCACCCTCCGCCCCCAACTCCAGGGCCTTCAGGACCCAGACTCGGCAGCCCAGATCCATGCAGGGGGCTTCAGGGAAATCCCACACGGGTCAAGCCCGGCAGCCGTGGGGGTGGGAGAGCAGGGGAGAACACCCTAGTCAGGAAGCCCACCGCAGCCGAACGTCTTGGGGAGGCACAGGGAACAATTTCAACACGCAAACCGAAGCTGCCGGAGACCCGCTCCACCGAGGGCTTGACCGCTGGACCGCGGGTTTGGGTATTTCGCTAGGTTCACAGCAGGGGGCTCAACTGCACGGCCTGCCTCCACCCCCCACTGGGTTTCGAGAGTTCTTTGCAGGCGCTACTAGAAAACTCGCGGAGATTGGAGCTGAGAAAAGGCGGGCAAAGTTCCTTTTGATAAGTTGTGAATGGGGAGAAAGTGTTTGTAGAACTCATTGTTAAAACCAAGGAGCCGGAGACGCCGTCGGCGCCCAGCCAATCCGGGCCCGGGGGCTATTTTGAAATCGCTCCACTTCCAGCCAATAGGCGTGCGGGAGACGAGGTCCCGCGCCGGCGCTGGCCAATGAGCGAAACATTTTGCAAAGAAGCCAGGGGCCGGTCCCCGCAGACTGTCAGGGGGTTAAAGATGGAGCCGGCGGGCGAGAGGGCGCCACGAGGTTCGAGGTCGACCGGGTGGGGAGGATGCGCGACGGCCAGGCCCTCTCCACCGCTAACCCTCCGCGTCCTGCCACGGCCCGGGGCGGAAGAGCCGTCCTGCCCTGTGAGTAGCAGGGTTCGAGGTGGGGGGCGCGGGCAGGGCGCCCGACTCCGCCGGACTGTATGCAGGGGCGCAGCCGGGACCCGGCTCACTCTCTCCGAGGAGGGGATTTTAAAAGAATGGGGAGCCCCCTGTGCCTGTGCTCCGCTCTGGGCCGCCGGACAGAAAAAACAAAACCAACCAACCAAAGTAAAAAAACTGTTAGAACAGAATACGGAGCCCAAGTCAGGGGCCAGGGATGGGGGCCTGAGCTAGCAGGGATGCATGGTTCTTGAGAGGGGCCACCCTTATTCCGGAGTCCCGGACCGGGTGAAGAGGCAGGGTCTTTGGGCTGTACCCACCCTGCTCCGGATGCGAGTGGACTTGGGTCTGCGGTTGAGTGTGAGGCCCTCTCCTTTGTGTATGCGCCCCCTCCCCCGTCCGCTCCCAATCCGGGGTTGGGGCAGCCTTTCAACCCCACCCCCACCCCCCAATCTGGTGTCTTTCCTGCGGCAATCTGGAGTGTCCTGGGGAAGGTCCGGGGTGGCCAGGGTCCTGAGATACTGGAGGAAGGCAACCCTGCTGAAATCCTCCTCTAGGCTTTAATGTGCAGGACCGGGCCTCTAGACCTCCCTATATTGGGGGCCATGGGGTCCCCCCTGCTGGCTGCAGGTGCTCTGACTAGGTTGCACTACTGTGCTCTAAGAAGCAGTGCAATGATATTGTCAAAGCATCTGGGACCAGCCTTGGAGACGCCCCCTCCCCCACATCTTCAACTTCCCACCCCCTTCCCCCCAGGACTGGCCCCTTGGGCCTACAGCCCTTCCTGCCTCCTACCCACCTCACTCCCTTCTCCATGGAAACTTGAGATCCGCCTCCTGGCCTGGGCCTCTGGGGTCAGAGGGCACCCTTCCCCCAGGCTAGAGGCCCAGCCCCTGTGGGTCTGCATTCTTGGTCTCAGATTCTTACCCGCCAGTGACAGACCATCTGGGAAGGCACTGGCAGGCCTGCCTGACACTCTTTCCCTGTTGCACTACTGTGGGCCACTGGGAAGCAGTGCAATGATGAAAGGGCATTGGTCAGGCCCAGCCCACCACCCACAGTGCCTTGGGGGAGGGAGATTTGCTCCTCACTCCACTTGCCAGCAGTTAGGCACAGTTGCAGAGTTGAGCTGGACCCCTATGGGGGGATCAGGTGAGTGCAGAGCTGGGGAATCATCCCCCCACAAGCTATTCGTCTGGGTCATGGCTAGCAGATGCAAGAACAGAGACCCTAGATTTAGGAAAACTCTGGTTTGACAAGGATCTTTCTATACCAGATCCACAATAAGGCTGGGAAATTCAGATCTGGTCAGGGCCTTACGGAGAAATAAGGGCCCACTACTTTGCATGGACCAGGTCTGCCAGGGTTAAGATCTAGCTTAACCCTGGCCATATAAAAGCAAATGACCCCGACCTCCTTGAAGGCTCAGGGCAGGCCAGGCTCTGGAGAGAATTTCTATATTTTCAGCAGGAGTATCTGGGGTGGATGGATGAACTTGGGATACAAAGCCTGTAGGTGGTGCCACCACCCATGTCAGTTTATTCTGTTACAGGGAGATATACTGCCTGGAGCCTACAAGAAGGACTGTGAGGCACCTGGCACTCTCACCCTCAGTTGGAATTGGGGGGATTGAAGCTGAACTACCAAAGAGTCTGACCCCAGACCTGCTGTGGGGTCACCTCCGCCATCGAGACATGAAACAGTACAAAAAATTTTTATGTGCCGAGTGACAGTCATTCAAGCCTATTTCCTCGCAAGGAGACCTCTCAAGGTCTCTAGATGGGTGTTTGGGAATATTTCTCATTCCTGGCTGAGACAGCTCTTTTACCCCCACCATGAGAATAGAAGCCCTGGCAACCATGAGGAGGATGAAGGATAGTGACACATGTCCCTCTACCTCCTAGGCCTGGCCCCTTGAAGTTCCTCAATCACAAGGTCACCTGATTCAGACCCATATTCCCTTCCCCTAGGCTCCAGGTGCCATGGCTAGGGGTAGCCACCGCTTACTGTGCAGATTTTGTACCCACTGACCAGAGACCTCCATGCAGGAGACTTGTCCTTGCTGGGGGTGAGGGTGGGGGATGTGAATTCAGTGCTTTTTTCCTTTCTATGGGAAACCTTCCTTGGGTTCCATGACATCCATTTTCTCCCCAGCAGAGCCTTTTAGATCACAGTTTTCTCCCTGTGGCTTAAGTCCTCCCAAGGGCAGGGACCATGTCATTTTCAAAAATTTTTCTTGGCAGGACCTGACACAAAGGAGGGCCCAGAACACTTAAAAAATGCAAATCAATAAAATAACAAGTATAAGTAGCATAACATGGGGACTGCTTCACCTCTCAGAGAATGTTTATCTTGTTTTTAAAAAGAACTTTACTGTTTAAAAGAAATGTTTAATACTGTAAGTCTCACAGGACAGGCAGTGGAATGAACATTTGAATCCAGCCTTGAGCCAGCCTTACCCCCTAAGTAAGATGCACAGGCTAGACCTTCTTTGGTTGTCCTTGCCTTGCTCTCTGACCTCTAAGTAGGAGGAGGTGAGTTGTTACCTCCTATATTGGGGAGAGCTGCAGCTGATGGTTTGGTGGTGGAAGGTGAAAAATCTTTAGGCACACTCCATGTATCGGGCATGGAGGGATCAGAAGGAAGCAGCCCAGGGTGCACCCGATAGTAAGTGGCTAGGGTGGATGGTGGTGTCAGCAGATGACCATGCAGGAGAGGGGGGAGAAGCAAGTTTCTGGGTGGAAGGGAAGAAGCTCTGTGCCAATCTGGATGTATTCAGCATGAGTTGCCCAAGAACGTCCCCAGCAGGTACTCGGATATAGGTCTGGAGTTCTAGGAAGGTCTGAGTCTGAGATGAAGGTTTGGGTTAGTTGAGACCCAGAAGTGGATAAAGAACTGTCCAAGATGGTATGAAGACAACCTTCAGAAATGCATAAGAAGGGGCAGAAAATGCTGATGAAGAGGAAACAGTGAGTATCGAGGCAAAAAATGGTTATGAAAGGTGGGTGAGAGAGGCTAGAAGCTGGAGAGGGATGGGTTTGATTGTTGGAGAGTAAGTCAGATCAGGGAGAGGGTGAAAAGTCCAGGATAAGGTAGGGGCTGAGTGAAGTCCTGGGGGGGTTGCCTAGCTGGTTAGAAAACAAATAAGGAGGTGTTCTGCAGGCCGGCCGAGGGGGCCTTAAAGTTGGAAGAGTTCATTCAGGCTTTGGCCCTTTGTGCGGCCAAGAGCCAGGCCCCAGGCGAAGTGCACTCAGACCCCATAAAGACCGACCCTTGATCCCTGGCAGCAGCGGAGCCCCGTGGAAGGCCCAGCGGCGCACGCCCAGAGCGGCGGGCATTGTCACGTGCGGTCGTCTCGCGGGGACTGAGCCCGCCCGCCATCTCCAGGGGGATGGGCCGGAACGGTCGGGGCGGCTGGGCTAGGGCTGCTGGCGCCGAGGAGCCTGCGGTTGCGGAAGAGAGCGGGTGCGGCCCCTGCCCTGGGGGGCCCTGCCGCTCGCTGTGACCTGCGCCTCGGCCCTCGGGAGCGCCCCTCTCCCCGGGCCCTGGCCGATTGGGGGTTGGCGCGGGGACCCTTGGTAGAACCACCCCGACGGCCACCCTGTCCCCCAGGCGGCCCTGGCCCGCCCCAGCCCCTCTCGGATGGAGGTCCTGGACGAGTTCGACAGCGAGTTCCCCCAGAGTGTGACCTTCTGCCAGCTCATCTCCGAGGAGGACTTCGAGAGGCAGGCGGCCACGTACACGGAACGCGCTCTGCGCCGCCTCTTCCGAAGCATTGACCGCAACCCGGCGTTGGCCGAGAGGGTGGTGCGCCAGGGCAAGCAGGCGGAGTGCGAGCGGCGCGGGCTCCTCTCCTTCCTCTGGGTGCGGGCCGGAGGGCGGGGCTGCGGAGCTGGGGCTAGGAGGGCGGGTGTTGTTACCGAGCTGTGTTGGGCCCTGCAGACACCGGGCGGCCCAGCTTTGGGGGAGTGGAGCAAGCAGACATCTCACCCATCGGGCTTCCTTCTGCCCTGCCTCTTCCACTGTTGTTGCAGGCAAAGTTCTTCTGTGCGGTCCAGGGGGAGCTGAACTATTGCAACAGCATGGACACCCTGGAGATGCACCGGCGCCTGGAGCAACTGAAGAGGCGCATCCACCGCGTGCACCTCTACGCCCAGGGTGAGGCCCAACCTGTACCTGCTAATGTCACCCAGTAAATCTGACTCAGGGTCCACTTGTCCCTGGTCCAGTGCTTGGCAGTTTTGTTTTTTTTTTCCCTCCAAAGATAATTATTTTTAAAAGTCTATATTATGAAAATGAACATACACACAATTTGAGACTACAGTGACCGTTTAAGTACCTGCCACCCAGCTTCAGCAACTACCCCCATTTTGCCATGTTTATTTATTTCTCTGTTACTCCCTTTTTCTTTTTCTTTTAAGAAGTGGGGTACAGGCCAGAGTCGCGGGGTGGGGGGCGGGGGGAGGTGTGAGACAATTCACCAGAGAGAGCCGGAACAGGCAGATGTAAGGTAACACCACTGAGGGGAGCAGCAGGCTAAACAGGAGAGGTCCACGGAGCCATGTGGGTTGTTCCCCAGCCGGCCCTAGATCAAACGTATGCCGCAAAGGCCTCCAACGGCCTCACAGAAGGGTGCTCAACCCCCTTTGCCACCAGGGAGGCCCTACTCCCTTTTTCATTTCCTGGAGCATTTTAAAGGAAATTGAAGACATCATTGTACTTCTGAATATACTTTAGAGTGCTTCTTAATATAAAAAATTAAGAAATGATTTACCCTTGACATAATTGACAGTTTCCTCATATAGCTGACACTATATACTTAGTCCATAGTCAGATCTCCCCAGTGATCCACAGAAATCTTTCTATGCTTGGTCTGTCATGTCAGAATCCAGTGAGGCCCACACAGCATATTAGGCCTCTAAGGGTTCTTTTCTCTACTATGACCATATCCATGTCCTCATCTGGATACTTGTAAAAGTAAAATGAAAGAGGGTCACATTAGTGACGACACAGGATTGGCAAATGAGGATCCATGCTGTATCTGTTGAAGTCCCCCCCCTTTTTTCTTTAAGATTTATTTATGCATACAAGAGCTGAGGTGTAAGCCAGAGGTGAGGGGTGTGGGAGGGGGGAGGATTCACCAGAGGCAGAGTGGGGAGGCAGAACAGGCAGATGGACTGAAACACACTGCTGAAGGGAGCAGCGCGGGAGATAGGAGAGGTCTGCTGTGCCATGTGGGTTGCACCCTGGCTGGCAAGGGATCTTACTCATGCTGTAGTGGCTGGCAATAGCTTGATAGCGCTGTCTTTAACCCCGTGCCACCCGGGAGGCCTCTGTTGAAGTCCCTTTTAAGGTGGGCGGCCCTCACTTTTTCTTCTGTGCCATTGACTTCAAGAACTGCACTAGCCTTTGGAGGATCCCACTTAATGCGTTCTTATCTGTCACCATGGTCTGCTGGTGGTGTTTGCTTTGTCCTCCGCTGCTTTTATTTTTTGCTTAGTCACTCTAGAACCTTGATTTATTGCTGGCTCGGTTCTTTCCATGTGTTTGTGCTCAGTGATAACACTATACTAGTGCTGGGGTTACTCTCTTTTGCATCACGTGGAATGCTGGGCTCACCTGGGGGTTCTACTTTCCATGATGTTTTGTGTGAGTACTTCTTTTTACCATTTCATCTTGCAGTTGGACCCCAGAATGTGCAACTCTTATCACAGCCTACTTAGGTATTAGCATTGGTGTCATTTATCCCTGTTTTACTGGAAAGGAAACAGGCTTAGGTCAGTTGGCCAGCAAGTGTAAGGTCACATAGTAAGTAGGTGAACCTAGACAGGAATTCAGGTGTGAGTTGCTCTGGGCACTGCCTCGTAGCCTCCTGGCCACTTCCATGACACTAGCTATTCTCGATGAGCTGTTCTGGTTGACTGTATAAGGAACTTATTAATACCCACTTTGCTGGTAGTTTCCAATTTTGAACAGTAGAAATAGGCAGACTCACTGAATACAGAAAGAAGTCCTAAGTGGAGAGTCGTAGGGGGCTGGCTCCAGGGTCCCTCTTTGCAAAGATTCCCTCCCTAAGTCCACCTCTGCAAGAACTCCTTGTGGGATTCCTCACAGAAGAAGGATCCTTTGCATACCCTCAGGATGACCCTGGGACTAGGTGACTCAGTGGGCTTACTGTCCAGCGCCTGGATACCCCATGATGGTGCTGGCTGAGTTGAACCTTCCCTCATGCTTGGGAGGTGGGTGGGCAGATCAACTTGCCCAGGCTAAGCCCACCTCTCCTTGGTGATAACAGTCACTTTCATGAAATTCTGCCTTTGCAGTCAATTAGCCTGGGTGTGGGGTCTGCCTATGCCTTGTACAATCTCCAGTTCTGCTTGTAAGATAGAGACAAAAGTACCTGCACTCTGTTGGGTTGTTGTGGGGTCACTGACATGGTGCATCTTGGCTCCTGTCAACAGTGACTCTAAACATTGTTACATGGTGTCATTTGGGGCTGCCTTTTCTCTCTCCTGGAGGACCATGTAAAGACCCCACACCATTGTGTTTGCCTCCATTCTACCCTATTTTGGTCACAAGTAGCATTGGTGGTGTTTATTCATTGGCATCTTTTGTCACAGATGCCAAGAAGAAGAGAAGAAAGCAAAAACTGAAGAAACTAGAACCTATCCTCTTGCGGGACCAGTCCACCTCCCCATGCCTGCCACCAGCCCTGCTGCTACCTCCACCGCCTGCCACAACCATGACCTCTGTGGTGGCCTCATCATCCCCTGCCTACACTATGCCCAGGGTCTTTGGCCCCTTCCCTCCGCTACCCAGCAAGTCGGTCAGTGATTTGGAAGAGTCAGCCTCTGCCCCTTTACTCAGAATAACCCCAGTGGCTCTCAGAACTTTGTTTTTAAGCAGCAGAACCCTCTTTGCAGACAAATTCTGGTGGAATGGCAGTGGATAAAGCTAATAAAAGGGGGGTGTTCTGGTGGAAGAGTGGGGTTGAAGGCATAGAGGTGCACTTGTTTGACCTCAGTTTAGCAAGACCATCCCAAGTGCACTGGGAAGACTCCTAGGACTCACAAAGAGCAGGTGGAGAACCATGTTCCTTCCACCTCTCTGACCCAAAGCTCACCTTTCCCCATGGATGTTATTCATACTACCCTCTGCCCACAGCCTCCTTCCGACGCTCCATCTCTTCCTGTGCCTCACTAAACCTGCACTCTCACTCTAGGGAGCCCCCCATCTTCTGGACTGGGCCTCTTCAATTGACTCCAAGTCCCCATTCCACCCTCTGTACCACTAACACCAAACTCAAGGGTACTGAGGATAAGCCCAATGTATTTGTTGTTGTTTTTTAAGATTTATTTATTTATGCATATAAGAGCTAGGGTATAGGCCAGAGGTGCAGGGAGTGAGAGGATTCACCAGAGACTGAGTGGGGAGCAGAACAGGTGGATCTAGTGAAATACACTGTTGAGGGGAGCAGTGAGTGAGACAGGAGAGGTCTGCTGCACTATGTGGGTCAGCTCCCTGTGGGGGATTGAACTCATGCTGCAGTGCCTTGAGATAGCTTGATAGTGTGAGACTTTAACCCCCTGCGCCACTAAGGGGGCGCCCTGTGTATTTGCTGAATGAATGAAAGTGACATAGTTCTCATAGTTCACTATAAGGTGCTTTTCGTGGTACAGTACCCAAAGGTTTCCTTTGTTTCCTGCAGGTGGATAAATTGGAAGTTTCAAGGTGTGATATGAAGTTAAACTGGACTGACCTGGCATCAAATCCAAAGAGGTGGAAGGAATTTATTTTGAGTTTGATGAAGAAGCAATATTTGGGGGGGATGTTACCAGACTTGGTTGCCATATCTTCCCCACCTTTTAGTTACTCCTCTCCACCATCATGAGTGGTTATTCTTACTTTACAGCCTAGGAGTCTGCTTGTAGAGGGTGTCTCATGTTACAGAGGTACCCACTGTAGCTGGGGAGGACTGGAAACTGACATCCCCTTCTCTGCCCTGTCTTGCAGCCACATGGTGGATCTGACTCCTTTGGTCCTCAACCCTGGAGGCTTCCATTTCTCATACCTCGCTGGGAATAGTGCACACAAGCTCCGTGGCCCTGGCTTTCCCTGGTAAGCATGTCTCTGAACCTCCCAGAATGCATGCACTGGCCTGGTCCTGGCCTCTGTCTGGCCTCTGCTTAGCATCATGGGCCATGTGCGTGAAGACTAGAAAAATGTTTAGTGTGAAGTTTCCTTCCACTTTCAGGAAAGTTCCTAAAATATTCAGAAGTGCTGGAAAAGTCGCTCCCCCTTTTTAATGTTTGTTATGGTGAGAAATAGAAAACAAATAGCTCATCAGGCAACAGAAAGGGAACAATTCCATCAACTGGTCCCTGCGGTTTATGTACATGCATGTTTGCAAAGCAGGGATTTATTGAGAGAGAGTGTGTGTGTGTGTGTATTAACCTGTTTTTTCCACTTAGGTGTTAAGTATTCCATTTACCAGTAGAATACTAATATTTCAAAGTATGATTTTTTTCACATTATATTTATTGAGCTAGAGTAGATTCATATTATTGTATCTGCTTTGGGGATGATAGGTGTAAACCTCTACAAATGTATATTTTTCACACTTCAAAATATGATTTACACCAGTTGCTTCATTGTGTGAGATGACTTCTAAAAAACTGGACTATTTTTTTTTTTTTTAAGATTTTATTTATTTGTATTATACAAGCACTGGGTACAGTCAGAAGCGTGAGAGGGTGAGAGAATTCACCAGAGCCAGAATGGGGAGCAGAACAGGCAGACTGATGAAATACACTGCTGAGGGGAGCAGCGGGCATGGCAGGAGAGGTCTGCGCACCATGTGGGACCCTCGCCAGCTGGCCAGGATTGAACTAGCGCTGTAGAGGCTGCGGGCAGCTTTGTAGCCCAGTGTTCAACCCCTGCGCCACCGGGGAGGCCTTGGACTATTTTTAAGAGAAATATTTTTAGATTCACAGCCGAATTCAGTAGAAAACAGAGATCTCCTATAGGTCCCCTGCCCCCACACAGGTGCAGCTTCCCCCACTATCAACATCCCTCACAGAATGTTCTGTTAAAATCAATGAATCTACCTGGATTCATGATCACTCAAAATTTATGGTTTGCATTTAGTGTTCACTTTTGGTGGACATTCTGTGGTTTGAACAAATGTATAGTAATATGGGTTTTCCATTGTTATGCATCTCCCAACCTCTGTCAACCACTGTCTTCACAATTTTGCCTTTTTCAGAATATTGTATGATTGGAATCCTACAGTATGTAACCTTTTCAGATTGGCTTCTTCCACTTAGTAAAATGCATTTAAGTCTCCTTCATGTCTCGTCATGGTTTGATAGCTCATTTATTTTTAGCTATAAATAATATTGCATTGTCTGGATGTACCAGTTTTTGTTTTGTTGGTTTTTTTTAAAGATTGATTGATTGACTGATTTTTTGAAGATTTTATTAATTTATGCATACAAGAGCTGGGGTACAGGCCAGAGATGCGGAGGGTGAGAGGACTCACCAGAGACAGAGTGGGGAGCAGAACAGACAGACTGACCGAAATACACTGCTGAGGGGAGGAGTGGGTGAGATAGGAGAGGTCTGCTGCACCATGTGTGTTGCTCCCTGGCTGGCTGGGGATCAAACTTGTGCTGCAGAGGCTGTGGATTGCTTCATAGTGCTGTGCTTAATAACCCCTTGCGCCACCAGGGAGGCCCCTGGATGTACCAGTTTTTGCAGTCACCTATGGAAGGACATCTGGGTTGCTTCCAAGTTTTGACAATTTTGAATAAAGCTGCTCTAAACATCAGTGTGAAGGTGTTTGTGTGTGGACATAAGTTTTCAGCTTGTTTGGGTAAATACCAAAGAACACAATTGCTGGATCATATGGTAATAATATGTTTAGTTTATGAGAAACTACCAGACCATCTTCCAAAGTGAGTGTGCCATTTCGCAACCCCACTGGCAATGAATGAGACTTCAGATGACTTCTTATGTAAGAATCTATAAAGATGATTTACCCGAGGGCCTCCCTGGTGGCACAGAGATTAGACTCAGCGCTATCAAGCTATCTCCAGCCACTGGGGCATGAGTTCGATCCCCAGCCAGGGAGCTGACGCACATGGTGCTGCAGACCTCTCCTGTTTCTCCTGCTGCTTCCCTCAGTGTATTTCAGTGGATTGGTCTGTTCTGCTCCCCATTCAGTCTCTGGTGAATCCTCTCACACCCCTCGCAACTTCTGGCCTACAGCCCAGTTTTTCTTTGCATAAATAAATAAAAATTTAAAAAAATCTTTAAAAATAAAAAAAGATGGTTTACCCAAGAGGCACAGTCTGCCTGTTCTGTGCTCCATTCTTCTCTGGTAAATCCTCTCACCCCCGCACCTCTGGCCTGTACCCCAGCTCATGTATGCATAAATAAATAAATCTTAAAAAAAGTCACCTTTTTAAAAAATAAATAAAAATAAATCTTTAAAAATAAAAAAAGATGGTTTACCCAAGAGGATACCTAGAGAGTAAAAGATGTATACATTAGGAGTATTGGGATGTATACTATATACCTATCAAAAAGTCTAAAGCAAATCCTATGCTATCAAGGCTATAGGAAGAGACTCGTTTTTGCTGGGAAAGTATTAGAAATTGGCTTAGTCCTTTTTTCAACAAATACTTTTACTGAGATAACTCACGTAGCATACAATTTACTCATTTAAAATGTTTGCTTCAATGACTTTTTCTATATCCACATTTGTGCAATCATCACCATAGTTCAATTTTAGAACACTTTCATCACTTTAAAAGGAAGGGAGGGAATGAGGGCCTCCCTGGTGGCGCAGTGGTTGAGCGCTGGGCTATGAAGCTGCCCGCAGCCTCTACAGCGCTGGTTCAATTCCCAGCCGGCCGGCGAGGGTCCCACATGGCACGCAGATCTCTCCTGCCGCACCTGCTGCTCCCCTCAGCAGTGTGTTTCGTCAGTCTGCCTGTTCTGCTCCCCGCTCTGGCTCTGGTGAATTCTCTCACCCTCCCGCACTTCTGATTGTACCCAGTGCTTGTATAAATAAATAAATAAATATTAAAAAAAAAAAAAAAAGGGAATGAAAAAAACAACTCAGAGTAGAAAAAATATTTGCAAATCAATTCACTAAAAACCTACCATCCATTCCAAAAAAAGAGGAAAAAGACATGAATAGACATTTCTTCAAAGAATAAATACAAATGGTCAGGAGATACTCAACATCATTAATAACCATCAGGAAAATGGAAGTCAAAACTACAATGAGATACCCACACACTAGGATGGCTGCATTCAAAAGGCAGATGTCAAGTATTGATAAGGGTGTGGAGAAATTGGAACCCTTGGATGTGTGGCTGGCAGGAATGTAAAATGGGGCAGCCACTGTGCCAAAGGTTATGGTGGTTCCTCAAAATGTTAAATGTAGAATTCCCATATGATTTAGCAATTCCACTCAGGTATATCTTAATCTACCTAAGCAATAAAAGATTGAAATATAAGCTATAAAAGTTGAAATATAAACTCAACCAGATACTTGTACACAAATCTTCATAGCACCGTTATTCACAATAACTAGCCCAAATGTGCACAAGATATATAAAATGTGATCTGTCCATACAATGGAATGTTACTCCACCAAAAAATAAGTGACATTCTGACACATACTACAACATAGATGAACCTTGAGAACATGATAAATGAATTAAACCCTGCACAAAAGGACAAATTATTTTATGACCCCCACCTACACAAAATATCTGTAATAGATTCATAGAGACAGAAAGTAGACTGGAGGTTATCGGGAACTGTGGGAGGGGATGGGGAATTGTTGCTTAATTGGTACAGTTGCCTTTTTTTTTTTTTTAAGATTTATTTATTTACCCATCCAAGAACTGGGTACAGAGCAGAGATGCAGGGGGTGAGAGGATTCACCAGAGGCAGAGTGGGGGACAGAACAGGCAGACTGACTGAAATACAGTGCTGAGGGGAGCAGCGGGCGAGCCAGGAGAGGTCTGCAGTGCCATGTGGGTCGCTCCCTAGCTGGCTGGGGATCAAACTCGTGCTGCAGAAGCTGCGGATTGCTTCATAGTGCTGTGCTTAACCCCTTGCGCCACCGGGGAGGCTCTGTACAGTTTCTGTTTGGGGTGATGAAAAAGTTCTGGAAGTAGATAGTGGTGATAGTCACATAACATTGTGAATATAACTCATGCCACTGAATTGTACATGTAGAAACATGTAGAAATGGTTAAAATGGTAAATTTCATGTTATATTTACAACAAATTAAAAGAAACTCCTACATCCCTTAGCTGTCACCCCCAGTTCCTTCATCATCCAAACCCTAAGCAACCACTCACCAATTTTTTTTAAAAATCTTATGTGTGTATTTTTAAAATTTAATGATGTTTAGTTTGTTCATAGACTTTTACAACTATTTCTCTCCCCACCATCATCCCTTATATTCCTTTGTCCCTTTCCCTACCTGATCCCTCTTAACCTCAGAGCCCTCAAGATATTTATTGATGCACTGTTTTGGTTTTTTTTTTTTTTTAATAGAGGCATGTTTTCTTTCTTTCTTTGTTTGTTTGTTTTGTTTATACATGCACTGGGTATAGTCAGAAGCGCGGGAGGGTGAGAGAATTCACCAGATCCAGAGTGGGGAGCAGAGCAGGCAGAAGGACCGAAGTACACTGCTGAGGGGAGCAGCGGGCGGCAGGAGAGGTCTGCGCGCCATGCGGGACCCTCCTCCGGTGGCCGGGAAGCAGCCGGGGATCGAACCGGCGCCTCAGAGGCCGCGGGCAGCTTCGCAACCCAGCGCTCAACCGCTGCGCCACTGGGGAGGCCCTGTTTTGGTTTTTTTTTAAAGATTTATTTATTTATGCATACAAGAACTGGGGTACAGGCCAGAGGTATGGGGGGTGAGCGGATTCACCATAGACAGAGTCGGGGACAGAACAGGAGGAATGACTGGAATACACTGCTGAGGGGAGCAGCGGGCGAATCAGGAGAGGTCTGCTGTGCCATGTGGGTTGCTCCCTGGCAGGCCGGGGATCGAACTTGTGCTGCAGAGGCTGCGGACTGCTTCATAGCG